ACTATACCCTGGCAATAACGATAATGGCCCACTCACTGGAGACATGCAAGGCGACATCAGACGCCCCTTTAGGTCCAGTAGCTTGTTTGCTGGGTTCGACCACGAAAGTGACGACGACGCACCCCGTCTGCCTGTGGAGGAGGTATTCAATGATGATGAATCAATACTCAACCGACCAATGGCATCGTATACCATCAAGATGGGGAAGCTAGTATCGAAACCTTCCAGTCGCTCCATCCTCGATGAGAGCCCCATGGAAGCACACGAGGATGAGGAACCCGTGGTTGCTCAGATCACCGGCGATGAAAAACGTGCTAGTGGTAGCCTACGGCGGTCTTCTGCCACGCGCGGGAAGACCTCCACCAGAGGGTCATCAAGAATCACCAAGAAATCAGCCCCGTCCAGGCAGACGTCTAACAGTAGAAGGGCTGCCAGTGGATCAAACGCGGCAGATTCAAGACCAAGAAGCCCTCAGACTTCCAACGTCGCTAATACAGCAAATGTTGGTTCCCGTCCTCCATTCCCTGTTCCAACCCGTCTTAGTTCCCGCAAGGTTCCTTCTATGAATGAAGATGCTCAAAGTCCGACTCCGAACGGGGGCGGTGGATCAATATCAGACCATAGCATGATGGGGCGAGATTCCACCCTCCGAAAGATACGGTCAGCAGCCGCGGTGTCGAGACCGTACTATCGTGATGACAACACTAATTCGCTTCGCTCTCCTACTTCCACGACGACCTCGCTTGCAGGTAGGGAGAGCCCGCCATACCCACACCGTCTGCCTCAATCTCTAGATCGAATTTCAATATCCAACAAATCTCCGAGTTTCAGCGACTCCCGCCGGCCATCAAGGGGCGGAGAGTCTTACCATGAGCGCAAAGCCTCTTCTGCCGTATCGGTGCAGCAGACGAGTGTCGTTGATGCTATAGCCCAGACTATGATTGGAGAATGGATGTACAAGTACGTCCGCAGAAGAAAGTCCTTTGGAATGACAGAGGCTCCAAAGGACAAGGATGGAGGTGAAGGCGGGAAAAACTCGGAAGAGACATCCACAAATATCTCTGGAAATGGCGTTCGTCATAAGAGATGGGTATGGCTCGCCCCTTATGAAAGGGCTGTTATGTGGAGTAGCAAACAGCCAACGACTGGATCTGCTTTGCTAGGCAAGAGCGGTCGCAAATGTAAGCATTCCCTATCCCCAACGTACAGCAATTTGCAGCTAACATATCAAACCAGTAATCATCCAATCCGTCCTTGACGTAAAGGATGATAACCCCTTGCCTCGTGGTGCCTCACAGCAGAGTTCATTCAACCGTTCAATATTGATACTGACTCCCCAAAGAGCCTTAAAATTCACTGCACTAACCTTAGAACGACATTACGTCTGGTTGACTGCCCTGTCTTTCCTGAGCCACTCATCCCTAGGCCTCGATGACCTTGCAACTCTACCACCAGTTCCTCAGGTGGAATCAGGACCACGGCCACTTACTGCAGCCCTACGCCGAAACCCTATCCGTGACTCAATCAGGGTAGCCAAGGGGAAGACCCGACAGGTACCCAACAAGTCTCGTGCAGGAGCACCTGCTCAAGCCACCGTGCCAGAGGAGTCGTTCCCTGAAATGCCGGGTAGACCAAGCAACGGCGGGGACTGTGCCGCACCTCCTAACGTTCCCAGATTCGCAGCACATTCTAGAAAACGAAGCAACACCGCTCCTAAACCTCTATCAAACCCATTCAGGTCTTTCTCTGGCAATACGGTTGCTCCATCTACCTACAGTTCAACTACTTCTGGGTCTTCTGACCTCCAGTCACCAACCTCTGTGGCTCATTCGGGCGTACACAGCGGACAAAGCAGTTTTATTCATCGCACGTCTGAGGCTAGTGGGCATCCTCCCCCCGGTATGGCAAATTTCTTTGATGCCGTTGGTACCGTGAGAATGGAGGCCTTTGTCGATAAAAGCGATGTGCCACGTCAACGTGGCTATCGTGGGAGAAAGAAGGATTACTGGCCCCAGAGTCCCGATCTTGAATTCCGTGAATCAGACGGCGGAGGAAACGATTTCTTTCGAAATTATAACCCATTCAGGGGATTCTAACCGTCTATTCCACCTAGAAACCTCTCTGCTCTACCCTGAGCAATTCCCCTATCTAACGCACTAACTTGCCGCTATGAAATCGCTGATCTACTTCAGCTATGTAATCTATACCTTTTTGCATTCTTTCTTTTTCCTCACCTTTTTCATTCTCGTTATGGCCCATCTATCTGGTTTAGGGACTGGGCGGTATTCTGATCTATCGATCATATTTTCTTTTCTTTTCTAACTGGCCCAGTGCTTACTATCTCTTTGGTCTCTCAAAAATTGTTCATATACCCTCCTGTTCTATGTATATCTTGCAAGGCGGAATGGAGGCAAGGCGCTTTGTTTATGGATATCCCAGCCCTTGCCGTTGGCTGCTAACACATGTGTACCTTGCTTGCTTTCTATGTCTCCCTTCGTTACACAGTCCACTTTTCTTTCTCAACCGGTTGATCTGACTCATTTTCTTTAACTGTGTTAAGGAATTCGCATCAAGCGAGTATATTTATTCCCACCAAATGCTACATTTTGATAATATTGAAAATATTCCAATTCTTGGTAGTACATGTACTTCATTTAAAGAGCTATAATCGCGATATCAAATCCGTGATACTTCGGGTGTATCCTTAAGATTTAAAATTCGAAATTCAGGGGTTAAGGCTAAAAGATGATGCACAAAGCACACTTTACATGTAGAATCTTCACATCTGGTGTGACGTTGGTTCTTTGACCGCAGTTGAAGCTCCTATCATCTCTCCAACATCACCAGGGAGGTCATATAGACACTCCTCCGGCATTTGCTTTTTGGCTTCTCCCAGTTGGCCAGATGAAACCAAGCCCGACACCTTGCGTATCTGCTCCGTGATATCCGTGATCGATACGATCCATTCATCCACGTATTGATCAACAGCTTCTCCCTTTAACCCAATTTGTATTGACCGATAGCCGAGAGGGTTGAAGTGGAAATCTCGTTCGGGGTCCCATTGGACCCGGACACAGGAGGCTTGCATGCGCGATTCCCAAGCTGACTTGTCTTTATAGAGCGAGTTATCGACATGGCTCAAGCAAGCATTGCGCAGTGCCCATTCGAAGCCAGAGCGAGTGATCTCGATTGCTAGGACCCGCTCTTGGTTGGGCTTTGTGGCCCATCCGCTTCGATATGCAACCCATAAGAATGAGGGCTTGATCCAGGTCATTCGACCACGTTTAAAGGGGGCAACAAAGGTCCCTGCTCCTAGTGCAGCGTCTGCTATCTCGTTTGAGTATGCCTGGTAAACAGTAATGGTGTTTTCAGTAAACTTTGCCCGTATGGCACGGTAGGGGTTGTTGTCTGTCATCATATATGGGAAATTGAGCTTGGCACTTGGGAGTAGTGGAGTAAATCGTAGTGATGGTATAGACCTTAATTCTTTTTATATCTTGATATCAAAGGCTGAATGGAACATCTAGGGATAGTCGGAGAGTAATGGGAGCACTTAAATAATTGTTGGTAGCCAATACCATCAATGAGTCACTCTCTCGGCCGCATAGAACATACATTTCGTCTAAGCGAACTTGGGTCCGTAGACTACGGTGAAAGCTGAAATAGCGAGCGAAATAGTCAAGTAGTCTGTCTAACTATGTATGGACTCCGTGGTAGAGGTTGAAAAGATGTCGGAGGCGGCTATACATACCTAGTAAGGCCCAGGGTCAGCGTGCAGCTTTACGAGAATGGCGAGTAATAAACGGATAACATATATGCTTGATTCTGTTTTAGACACATTGATACATACAAAGTTCCAAGGAGATAATGCTATCCCAGGTCTAATAGTCTAATGAAAGGCTCAAGTTTGTATCACCTCCAAACTTCGGGGTTGCTAGACTATGAAAGACTGGAACAGCCACGGGAACTCCCTAGTAAAGCCCGGCGATACGTTGTTAACACCATATTTGAGTCAACATGGCCTTACTAGAATGGTATAGAGGTCCAACATAACCGTGACACAAACGTTCGGTATTTCTGTTCGTAATGTCGATAACGGTAGGAGTATCACTATAGCTTCGCCTCCTCTTTGACCTCACCAATCTTTAATTTCGCGCCATACTTCTTCAGAACACCGTCCCCATGGTACTATAAAATATAATTAGTAGCCACTCAAGGATCTGGCAGAGAAGTCGTGAATATTGCAGTTACTAACCTTCCAAAACTGTTTTGAAGCGTCCTTGCCAGCGACTCTCTTCAATATTCTAGAACCGCCGGGGTGCTCCTCAATAAAATTGGAGATATCATACACACACGAATCAACAATGATATATAGGCCAGACTCGGGAGTCTTGTGCTTTGCAACTTCAGCTGCAGTAAATGTTTTCGTCATATTGGGTAATTTGCGATGGAGTTGTAACTATACTTGGTTAATATTCATGATTTAAAGTGATACATTGGGGTTGCCATTCTGACATGAAATCATTCCCTTACCTAGTGAATGGATATATAAAGACGTGTATATATTGAAAAGATGCTTGTCGTAGACTTGGAGGTAACAGGAAGTTGAATGACATGCTATCTCCATAAAGCCGAAATGCAGACCACCATGGCGGAGAGCCGAGGCACGACCAGAAAAGATCACGTGATCGATAGCAAGTAGACCAATAAAAAGCAAGATATTGTCACTGTATCATGTGACTGATGAGTAATAAAATTAAGTGATTTTATCCATATCACATGATCAGTAGCTGATGACTAATAAGGATACTTCCTAATGCGGCAATAAATTACTTATTAATAAGGTTTATATTTTATGACTGATAATACGGTATAAAAAGAGAACAGCGAATAAAATGCTATAAATACAAGTACATCTTGTATGATATGTTACTATATATACACACTTGATCGTACACTTGGTAGTTGGCTTCAACATTGCTATCGTACAGGGTAACAGGCTATGATTTTGATTTCTCTGTGGTATGCTGTCCCTTTGGCTTACCTAAACCAAGAGTCTCAAGATCTTTCTTCTTATGATAATGAGGAGCAACCTCGGTTAACCATTCTGGTTGCAGCGGCATATTGCTACGCATGAACTCCTTGCTAGTCAACACTAGCTCGAAGTAGATAACCCATTTTGGATCTGTTCCAAATAGAGTGCTTGATGGGTGGAGGTAGACAGTCTGGCCATTTTTAACAGTTCGATAACTGTCTCCTCCACGCTGAAGCCGTGCAGCGTTAGGGAAGAAGCCTGCTGTCACAGCTTTCTGGATCACAGGGAGGTTGTTTGCTCCTGCGCTGCTAAGGGTAACTTCAACACGGTCACATAACCTAGCAAGTTGGTCCCTAACATCACGGGCACGGGTTAAGCTTCTTTGCTGGAGGAAGTTCTCCCTCGCCCAGACGTAGCTGAAATCAGCATCTACCCATTGATTCCAGATGTTGAGAAGAGTTAGGTGGTCACCCCCATCTTTGACAGTGAATCGAGCCCGAGCGCTGTCTGCATGAATCTTCTTATCTTTGGGCCTGTAGAAAAGTGCACTTGCCTCTCCCAGCATGGCGATGATGGATAGGATCTCCTCAACACAGCCGTACTTGTCTGCTGCCAGGATTGATTTCGAGAGCATGGGATCTGTTGGAAACTCTGCCATCTGACGGCCAACTTTCGTAAGTTCTCCACGGTCGTTCAAGGCTCCCAATGCATAAAGCTGTTCAAGAGCACGAATCAATGTTTCGGCCGGAGGTGGATCCATGAAATCAAAATCAAGTAGATCAGTTATTCCCAATGAAGTCAACATGAGCACCACACCGCTAAGATTTGTGCGCTGGATTTCTGGTGTGGTATTCTGCTCAAGTTCGTTATAATACGCCCACTTGGTATACAAACGGAAGCACTTTCCCGGGCCAACACGACCAGCGCGACCAGCTCTTTGACCGGCAGATGCTCTAGAACATGGGGTGACAACAAGGCTTTCCATTCCAGTGCGGGGATTAAAGACGCTCTCCTTGACGAATCCCGGATCAATAACGTACACAATGCCGTCGATTGTTAAACTTGTCTCGGCAATATTTGTAGCAAGAACAACTTTTCGAGCTCCCGGAGGAGTGGGCTCAAATATCTTTGTCTGAAGCTCAGAGGGCAAATTTGCGTAAATAGGGCAAACAACTAGCTCCTTGATTTTATTTCCAAGCTTCCGGGCCGTTTCCAACAGATTCTGTTCCGCTGATTCAATTTCTTCTTGGCCTGTCAAAAACACTAGTATATCACCCGGTCCTTGGGAGATATGGATTTGAAAAACCGTTGTGATTGCGGCTGCCAGGTAATTGGCCTCGGGCTGAGATGTATAATGGATATCAACAGGGTATCTCCGGCCAGGGATATTAAATATAGGGGCATCATCAAAATACTTTTGAAACTTTTGTGCATCCATTGTAGCGGAGGAGATAAGAAGCTTTAAATCCGGTCGAGCTTTAGCAATGTCTTTCAATAAGCCACAAGCAATATCTGTCGGGACGGTACGCTCATGGGCTTCATCAATCATGAGTGCAGAGTATGAAGCAAGATCTGGCTCCATAAGCAGTTCACGTAGTAAACGACCATCAGTCATATACTTTAATACCGTTTTATCGGAGGTAGTATCTTCAAATCGAATAGAGTATCCCACTTCATCACCAAGCTTAACCCCTACTTCCTCTGCCACACGTGCGGCAACGCTCATGGCAGCAACTCGTCGTGGCTGCGTACAGCCGACCTTCATGCCACCTTTTGTATATCCTGCTTCATGTAAATATTGAGGGATTTGAGTCGTCTTTCCGCTACCAGTTTCACCGACGATGATCAAAACCTGATGGTTAGCTACCGCATCTAGGATCTGTTCTCGAAATTGGTAAATCGGCAAGCTTTTTCGAGTTTCTTCTATTGACTTTGCTTTCTGTTCAGCGGCATCAATCTGCTTGTGTAAAAGCATTTGTTCCTTTGTCATAGGTTTCCGGTCACCAGCCATCTTTGAATCCATGATAAAGTTCACTTTCTGCGCATCATCGAAAACGTACTCATAATCTCCTTCATCAACGAACTCTGCTTTTTGGATCTGAGCTTTAGCTTTTGCCGTTTGCTCAAGTTCCCATTCTTCATGCTCTGTGACAAAACGTTCCTTTCCATGGTCGTCACGGTCAACATATCGCTTATATAGTGCTTCTTCTTTTCTCTTCCGGTCTATCTTCCCTTTCTCCGTTATGTAGTCCTCAGGGAGGAAATAGCCATCTCGATGGTCATCAATTTGCAGTCGCTCCTCGGCTAGCTTTAAAACCTCCCTGTTCTTTGCAAACTCTTCTTTCTCCTGTCGTGTCAAGTCAGGATTTTCTCGAAGTTCTGCTGTCTCCTCCGCAACTTGTTTGCGCAACAAAGCTAGGCGTTCAGCCTCTCGCTTCTTCAGATAGTCCTGTCGAGAACGTAGTCGAAGATCTGGCATTGCAGCGGCCCTAGCAGCCGAGTCCTCTGCAAGTGCCCTTCGCGAAGCTGTTCCACCATCTTTCTTAGATGACCTATCTTCAACCACTTTTCTGGACCGTTTATCATCCTTTGAGATAAGCCGTTTAGCAAACTCATCCCGCTCCCTCCTATCACGCTCCCTGGCCTTTTCAGGGTCTTCCTCAGAGTGGTCGAAAGCCTCAACATCATGGGAAACATTGACTTTATCCGGCAAATTCTCTGCGGGAGACTCGTACTGCTCATCCTCGCCTGAAGGGGGTTCTTCATCGCCCCATCGGCTCTCAAAATCGTGCTTATCTATTCGGCGAAGTTTCCGTGGTCGATTGTGTTCTCGTCCGTCCGCATGACTATCCCTCTTCTTATGTTCACTACTGCCATCATTCCTATTCTTTGTTGTAGATCGAGACCTGGACGACCCTGACTCCCTTGATTGCGCCTTGCTAGGATTAAGATCGTTATCCGCTATTTCATCCTCCATTTCAACCAAGCGATACTTTTTCTTCGGTTGTTGCTGGGTGGGCTTGTCCTTTGAAGATTTGCCGTCTCTCCCCGAGGGATTCACACGACTCCATAATTGCGTACAGAAGGGTTGTATGTCTGCATTTCCACCATCCAAAAACACCCCAAGTTGTTCGCGCAGAGACTCTTGTGATTTAGCCTTTGAAGCAGTTGCAAGGACGAAATCAACGACTGTAGGGTCTGAAACTCCGGTGAGTTGAAGGAGGGAATCTGAGATGTATGTCTTGATGTCCATAGTGAGCTGCGTTTGAGCACGATGCGATTGTGATTTGAAGATCGAGGCGTATAATGGGTATCCTAATCAAGTAACGAGTGTAAGCAAGTCAACATATGGCTATAGTTTCTGCGCGACCATCATCATGAAGGCAAATGCAAAGTTGGTTGCAGTCAGTTAAAGGCCGAAGATCAGCTTTGGAGCTTCAGAGTAGTTTTAACTCGGCTCCTGCTGCTTAGTCAGCATTGGCTTGGAGCTTTGAAAGGGGGAAGAGAAGGCATTTGATGATGGCTTTTCGGTTGACAGTTCTCGTTTAATAATATGACAACTGACATGCTAGAGGGATGATACGGAAGGCATACTAACTTGATGGAGCAGTAGCGGGCCCTATGATACTGTTTCTAATGGGGTTATCTTGATAGAGTGCATTGCTTTGTATGCTTCTCTCTGCTACTGTTCAACTGCATTGTGTATAGAAAACTATGAAATCTGAAGAAAAAAAGGCCGGGAAGAATGCCCCGAGCATTCTTGAATAACTACTAAGCAATGCTCTCACCCCTATTGATCGTAATCTGCATGCAAGGTGTTGGTGTGGGCAGCTTTTACGTCGTATCTGGCTAAGTTGAGCCGCTTCAATGCTAATCAAGAAGAAGCTCAGTTACTAGCCATGATAGTGCTGCCCGTAGCTCGGCAATGATAGTTCACACAATCGAGTGAAAGGAATGCCTCTCTGCAGGATAATATCAACTGTCATCAAAGTGGTCGGGGTATCTACCTTCACTTTGCCTATCAGTAGTTACGTGTTACCGAGCTAGCTTCCGAGGCCTCGTACCTGGATGCGGCTGAGCGAAGAGCGCTAAACTTATCCTGGAGAGATCGCGGACACCAAAAATCATCCATCAGGCAGCTCGACTTTTTTCTCTCCCCAGCCGAACGAGACGGCACCAACATGTCCAGCAAGCGCTGAAATTCGTACTGGACCCAGCCGACATGTCCTCCAACAACGGCATCGGCAGCTCCTCGCTGTCAACACCCAGTTCGGACCCGAGCTCGACAGGCAAAACTCCCATGCCACCAGATACTGCGAACACCGTTGAACTGAACACCATGAAGCCTATCGGAGTGGCAGAGGCGATTGGACTGGAGATGGATATAATGCAGCTGGCTAGGCTTGGTGAAATAGCTGCGATCAAGGAGCTCTTTGACAGCGGAAAATATGATATTAGTTATCGCGACGAGGAGGGCATCACCCCATTGCATGTAGGACTCACAGCAACGCCAAAAATCGAACCAATAGCTGACCTATGATTGTTATTTCTATCTAGTGGGCCGCTATCAATAACCGTTATGAGCTTTGCAAGTTTCTTCTCGATGCCGGGGCAGATGTCAACGCGAAAGGCGGCGAGTCAGTAGCTACACCTGCCATGTGGGCTGCTCAGAGATGTCACCACTATATTGTCCACCTCTTACTCCAATACGGAGCAGATCCCCTCTTGACGGATATCCAGGGATTCAATATTATGCACCTTGCAACTATCGATGGAAACTCGTTTCTGCTAGTTCTGCTGCTCCATCAGGAGATCCCAGTTGATATTGCCGACCCCCAAGGTCATACAGGTCTCATGTGGGCAGCTTACAAAGGATTCCCTGCTTGTGTAGATGTCTTCCTTCGATGGGGTGCCGATGTCAATGCGACTGACGAAGGAGGACTTTCACCTCTGCACTGGGCATTGGTTAAGGGGTCCACTGCGTGCGTACAAAAGATAATAGAGTACGGTGCAGACAGATTTGCTGAAACGAAGGAAGGGAAAACCCCAGCGATTGTTGCCGATGAGATGAAGACAACTCATATATGGCATCATGCGCTAGGAGAGTGTGGTTATGAACCTAATGGTACCAGTTCAGCCCTACCGTCCGTCATTGGACAAATGTTGCGGTCATCGCTATACATGTCCAGATTTTACTTTCTCTTACCCTTTTTTTCATTGCCTACTATTGTCACCATTTTGAGTTCTCTGTCGATATACGTCTCTATTCTTACGGCCCTTTTATTTATGTTTGGTGTTCATTTGCTTATTAAATGGGTTTCGAAGAGAGGTCCATTGGACTTTAGAGTACTTCAGAGGACGGTATGTCTGCTGCACCATGATTCCTCTCAAATTACTGTTAGTTTTGAGATGCTAAATCTTTTATTTAGGCGTTTCCGGCTGGGGTCTTTTCAGCATCTGCATTCTGGGTTGCTTTACGATGGTTGCACGTTATCCTACCTAGTGAGTATAGAAAACTAGCCCCTTTTTACCTACGATTCGTTCCATGAGGTCGGATGACTCTGTAGACTGACATGTCTCTAGCTACCTATTCTTCTTCCCTGTTTCTAAATTTAATATTTCTCACTCTGTTTGCATTCATGACTTACTTTTATACATATGCTATGATTGAAGACCCTGGCTTCGTTCCAAAGCTTAGCAGCAGGAACGAGCAGAAAGCTGTTATTATGGAGCTTATTAATGATTGGAGCTACGATGAGGACCATTTTTGTGTTCCTTGTATGATCAGGAGACCGCTGAGGAGCAAACATTGCAGGCGATGTAAGCGCTGTGTATCTAAACAGGACCAGTAAGTCCCTATTCGAACCCCTTCATGTGATTGTTCATTTCTAATTGTGATTTAGCCATTGCCCTTGGATAAACAACTGTGTTGGGAACAATAACTTCCGTCACTTCATGCTTTACCTTATCTTGTTACTTCTCGGGATTGTTGCCTATATTCGACTGGTCTTCCTGTGTAAGCTCTCGCTAGTCAATATGTTTCTGTGACGAGTACTAATCTGGTTGACAGATTACTCTGCCATTGTCCCGGGTGGCGTGAAAGCAACGTGTAACCTCATCTCACCATGGTTATGCAATGTGGTTGAAACTGATACCTACACTTTTGTTCTGACCATCTGGACCTCGCTTCAGCTGATCTGGGTTACGATGTTGACCCTCGTTCAGCTATATCAGATATCCAGAGGAACAACCACTTTCGAGGTCATGAGAGGCCATGGCCACGGTTTCAGTCACAGGGCCCCTACCTCTCCAAACCAGGCTCCATCGACGGCCGAAAGTAATAATCACTTTCGCAGATCTTGCTTCACGAAGTGGAAAAGCCTGTTTGGCCTTGATGCCTTTATGGCCGCTGCCCAAGACGGACTGAAGGATGGTCAGAGCCATCGAAGACGACAAAACCCGTTTTCACATGGAATTGTTCGCAACTGTCAAGACTTCTGGTGTGATCCAGCACCGTATTTTGGCATGCGTCAAGCCGGCAGCTCAATGCTTGGAGGGAAGGTTGTGAACTACTACAAGATGTACGATGCGGATATTCTTGAGCATTCAGGCGGCCGAGTCTAGATTAGTAACTGTCAAAACTGAGTTCCCACAGGCATAACCTTGTACTCCATACATAGCGCAGTAGCACGCGCTAGGAACAGGGTTCTCCTAGTGCCTCACTTATTTTATTTTCTCACCCTTCGCCTGAATTTTCTTATTCCCCTCCCCGTCTTGTCCATTTCCTCTTTTTTTTTTTTTTTTTTTTAGTTTCTTTTCTTCTGCTATATTGCTATATGCCCTCTAGTTTTCTTGTTGCCTTCTCAATTTAGCTCATAAGCTTGTGAATCAAACATTGTATGATAGATCGAAATTTTTATGTCACTTACGACTCTAATTCTGCGACTCGGACGCAGCATATCACACCTCCAAGAATAAATACGGGGATATTAGAGGTCAAACTACCAATCCAGCCTGGTGCGGCCCAAGGTTACCATCGGATCGAAAGACATTCATGCTTCTTCCTCACAATCCGTCTTCTTAATTTCTTGCCAAATTCCCGCAGACTGCCCGCGCACACCGCGGCATCACTGGCCGAGAATTCAGCAGTTAGCCAGCTGCTTGGGCGCAATTTCCCTATATGCAGCCCCGTAGAGCCAGCCCTGTTGGCGCTTGGTGCTTGGCGTGTTGCGGGTTTGCATATTTGACATTGCTACCCGGGTCATTTCGGACACTATCAGATGGCTGCAGCTCCACAGTGAGGGATCAGATAACGAACAAAGTTTACACTCTGGCTTATCAGATCGAGGAGTTGCGTCTCCTGTTGCTCCACGCGGGTAGCAACACAAGCGCTAGAGTGTGAGTATACAGGGATCAGCGCTGTCATGCTCGTTAGTTAGGTGGTCGGGTGGGGGAGAGGATGACAACTGGTACGGAGTACTCCGTATAACTAGTTAAATACTTTACTACCGCTGTACGGAGCTGTGCATGTCCAATTACTCCATGCGGAGTGCCTACTTTGTGGATACAAGCCTCCTGGGCTGGAAGTACGGTGTATGGAATAATTCCGTCATATTCATGCACAGGAAAACTTTGACTCGAAAATATACGAAAAAAACATGAAGCATCCTTTGTTGACCCTGTCTTTGATATGTGGACAAGGAATGACCAAAGAGAGCTCTGTGTTCTGTCGTCCATATGGGCATGGAATTATCTGACTGAGCCAATCAATTTGGGAATACTGGAGAAGGCGAGTAGCTTTAGAATTAAGCTAGGATGTTGTAGCCAGCAAACACAAAAGTGCCTGGATGGAGAAACGGTGATAAATTCAAACAATACTGTGAGAACTTTTACGTCGAAATTAGAAGCTAAGAAACTAACGAAATAGTGGGGAAAAAAGAAACAAGACAAATGATGCTGAAACAGAAAGGCGAAGGGGAGATGTTCTGATGTATGACCAGACCCAAGAAATTTCGATTGTGTTGCTCATCAACTCACGGGAAGCCCGACTCCTGCTTCTGCCTTACCAGGCTAATTTCCATTAGAAATCTGGGCACCAAATATCGCTTGAACAATCTCTGCGCCTCGGACTGCCAAAATTGATAGAAGACTGTCGCTAAGACCATGAGTAGATTCGTTGCATCCTTGCAGCCAGATCCCAGCATCAACATCCACCTGGTTCTTATCTAATTCTAGTCTGTAGTTTCTCTGGACCTTCCATCCCATGTGTTTTTGAGCCAGAAGAGGCTCAATGGAGGCAAGGATGCTTTCATGTGCGTTTCGTACGTAACCAGTTGCCAAAATAAGGGCATCTGCATTCATCTCCTCATTGTGGGTTCCGTTCATGGTGGTGTTTTCAGAGTGGCAGTGCTGCAATGATAGATTGAGTTTCTCGCTCTTATCTGAGTCGACCTTGGAGATCAGGCAGGAAGAGAAGATTCTGTGTTGCCATTGAGTCTCATCTGGGTATTGAATTTTCTGGATGTACATATCTGCGTAGATTTGTTCAATAAGCTCCGGCCTTACAACACTGTAGTTGGTGGAACGGTGGCGTTCAAGAAAGTGCTGTCTCTCCTTCTCGCTCTGGTTGAAGAACTGGTCGACCCTCTCGGGGTTAAAGAGCTCATTGACACTGGGACTATGTTAGTAACTCCACTTTGCCTAGTCACGAAATCTTGCTTTTACTTACAAAGGGGAGTCGTCACTCGGGCGGAGGGCCGAGTCTCGCATGATAAGGCTGGTTTTAGCATTAGGATATCTTTTCTGAAGATCATGGAAAATCTCAGCTGCGCTTTGGCCGCTTCCCGCAACAGCAATGCTGTACTCCTTAAGGGTATTGTTGAGAAGGCTGGGAAGGGTGGTGCAGTAGGCGGATGAATGAATGATTCTCGAGTTCGTTGGGAATTCCGCTGGAATATTTGGCTTTCCACCGATAGCAACAACTACGTGGCGGGCCTTGCGAGTAGTTACTTCACCAGTCTCCAAGACCTTAGAGCGGACAGTGAAGAAGTGAACCTTGCCAGTCACAGGATCGACCTCTGAAGGAGTGACGTCTAGGACCTCGGTTCTATACCTGACAAGGTTGGCAAATTTACTGGCACACCACTTCATGTAGTCTTCGAATTCAATACGGGCAGGGAGGAAGGTCCCGAGGTTGGCAAAATCAAGGAGGCGATCATGAACTTGTAGGTAGTTGAGGAAGGTAAACTCGCTTCTGGGGTTGCGGATGGTAGCCAGATCCTTGATGAAGGAGATTTGCATCTTTGACCCAGGAAGAAGCATGCCAGAATGCCACGCGAAATTCGACTGTTTCTCCAGGAAGCAGATTTTTGGGACAGTGGTGATATCTGGGGAATGGGCAGTTTCAAGCAGGCGGTCGTGAAGAGCAATGGCTATGGCAAGTGATGCTGGGCCAAAGCCAACACAAATGAGGTCATGCAACTCATCATCAGAGACAGAAGGCAGTAATGGGTGAGTCTGCGCTCTTGTGGGTGATGTTGAGGTGGTTTCAGGCTGAAGTTCCAGCTTTGGCACAGGGTAGTTGGTTCCATTTGTGAACCCGTTGCCCGTGGTAGAAGTACCATTCATGTATGGACTTAAAGGTTCAAGAGAGGGTGCCATTTCGTCCGGCAAAATGTATATATAGAAGCAATATCAGTAGTCGTACTAGATCGAATGCTTTCGTTTTGAGGATAACGATGAGAATGAAGAAATGTTATTGCTGAACGATGCAAAGGATCAACTGTATATACTCGGAGCGGAAGATGGTTTATTAAATCAACTGGAGTAAAGACCGAAGAACCCCTGGAACATGCTTTCTATCTCCGTCGGTGCCTGCCCGCATGTCGCATCAGATAATCATCATTGACACGGGAAAGGAAAGTTTAGAGTTGACGAAATGGTTCCACCAGAAAAACCCTCGATGGGCTGAAAACGGAGCTGCCATGTAATTAATTTGCCCCAGGTGATGCAGGTAGCGAAGGCGCTTAGGCGAAGGTATAGCCACAGGGAGGGGGAGCAAAAAAAGAGCCGGGGACCTCAAGGTAGAGTTTGGGACACGGAACGGTGCTGCTGCTGACTATTTCCATAGGCTGTGTTTAGGAATCCCTGACAGGGTGCGTGTCAATCGAGAATAACGGCACAGAGAAGGGGCAAATGGTCGCCCTCTCTTCCCACTGATGGCTCTATCTCTCTGTGAATGCGGAATGCATATTCCAAAGGGAGCGAACGGTTTGCGCTGCCCTCTGTTCGTATTTTCAACCCATCTTGCCCTCTTTCGTTTTTTCCTACCCTGCTACCGGCCTGCTCAGCTCGACTCTTCACGCTAACTTGTTTCTCCTTCGCTTGTTTGACGGGGGTTGAAGTGGGCTGTGGGTGTTCAGTGGAGATATGCAGCGCTAAGTGTGGAATACTTAAGGGGCCACCGAAAGGTCGGATGTTGTTGACGTCGCACCGGAGTTTGCAAATGTGGTTACTTATCAGATCGATAAGATTAGATCCGTGTTTGACCGACACGCTACGCTAGCCCGCATTTGGACAAAATCACGTCTTCCTCCGACGCCGAAAAAAAGCAAACAAGAGACAAGAACGACACTTCTTCCATCGACCAAGACGCCAAACCAGGGGCAAACACAACCTCCGGTCAAAAAAGACGGATCGTGACAGGACAAGGAGGGAATTTCACAATCCAGTCTACGCTTGGCCAATCATCCAGCCATCAGCAGCCTCCAGGCCCGACCCTGACAGAGAGGGGCAGGTATCTTCTTACTTGGAGGCCAGGATCTATCGACCCCTCGGATATTGCCTGTCATGTCTTCTGCAAGGCATAGTTATCTCTGCGTTTCATAATTTTTTTTTTTTGTTTTTCTCCCTACTCTCAGAGCAAGCAAGAGGGCCAGCTAACTGTATAACCCTTAGGGTTCTCTTTTTGCCGCAAGGCACACAGCAATGGTGCAAACCAAGATTGACTGCAATGCAGGTTCAGTCATTCTTCGCTCCAAAAATTTTTTTTTTCTTTATTTCTTAATCTAAGGTTTCATCAGCTATTAGACTCGGTTAGGGGTTGCTTGTTGGACCCGCGGGCTTAAGCTCGCCTGGTCCTCATTCCCCGAGCTGGATCCTTGCCTGGGCGGGACGGCGTTTTCGCGCCTTGTACCTCGTATGGAATTCTGTTTCCTCTCCGTCGTTTCCTCGGCCGTTTTCTCTTCTTGAGCGCTGTGTTAAAGACGTCACGCGCTTAGTTGCAATAGTTAAAGTGGGCATCTTTAATTACTTTTTCTTATCAATCTAACCGTCGAACTGATCAACTTTTTCTTGGGTATTTTGAAAGCATTTATATAGCCCGCCAACTCAGGGCTCTCAGCTATGTCGGCATTATAGCGGGTTCTCATTTCTCACCTCTTCCATTAATCGTTGAATCATGGATTCATTCCTCTGTGATCGATACACGCAGTTTCCCAGTCTCAACTATGGGGCTGAGGACGTCCCTTCGCAAGCCTCTGCTACTTGGGAGCTGGACAATGTCACTGATCTCAACAGACTGATTCTCGCATGGGCGTCTATATTGAGTCGTTTGAGTGAAGAAGAATCCCCAGTCATCCAAATTGATGGAGCCGCCGCGAGAATACATCTAGAAAGTGGCCGTATAGAGAGTGTCCAGATTGAAAAATCGGGCAATTCGGGTAGCCGTACTGCAATACTCACTTCGGATGTAAGGACCTCAACTTACCCCTTTCAACAAAACAGTTTCCAGTATTAACCAGATTGATAGACCCCTATTACCAGCGAACGATGTCAGCTGGAAATCAGGTATACCCCACACCAACTACATGGGTCAATTACATCTAGAGGCTGTACCAGCGTCAGGTACCTGGATCAGCTTGCTAGAAATCTAGAGAGCCTTCTACGAGAGCCTCTACCTCTCTCAATAGTCAATCCAACGCCTTTGATCTTACCCGGCCCTCGTCTTTTCCATGAAATGGTTCGTCACACTGGCAATGAGCCAGCAATCTCGTTCCTTAATGAAAGTGGTGAAGTAGAAGATTTAAGTTATGAGATGCTTCACTCTCTCTCGGAGCAACTGGCGTCTCACCTGGTACACATCCTAGCCTCGCTTCCACCCCCAGGACAGCACGGAAAGATCATACCTGTGCTTCTCCCTCAATCGCTAGACCTATATGTGGCATGGTTGGCGATTTTAAAGGCCGGTGCGGCTGTTTGCCCATTAAACCTTGATACCCCGTCAGAACGGCTTAATTTCATTGTTGGAGATGTCGATGCTCGCGTTGTCGTCACCAATGAGGGGCTTACCAGTGCCTTCCAAAATATCGAAACTTCGATCACTATAGTAAAAATGGAAGAGATCAAGACCTTTGCGCCAGGGTGTCTTTCTAGCGTGGATGTTTGCAATGAAGATTTGGCATACGTCATGTATACTTCTGGCTCTACAGGACTGCCTAAAGGAGTGGGAATATCGCACCAGGCTGCTGTGCAAGCGTTGCTAGCACATGACGAAATAATCCCTGGCTTCAGGAGATTCCTTCAATTTGCAGCTCCTACATTTGATGTCTCTGTTTTTGAGATATTCTTCCCGCTTTTCAGGGGTGTAACTCTCGTGGGTTGTAACAGACGTTTGATGCTAAACGATCTCCCTGGTATCATCAACCAACTGAATATCGACGCTGCTGAACTTACTCCAACAGTCTGTGGAGAACTTCTCCAATCTCGAGATGCTGTGCCGTGTCTTAAGCTTTTATTGACAATCGGCGAGATGTTGACAAGGCATGTGGTCGACGAATTCGGTTCTTCGAAGGATAGGCCTGGATTATTGCACGGAATGTATGGACCTACGGAAGCCACTATCCATTGCACTGCTGTCTCTTCAGTTCGTGCCGGCTCGCTTGTTGGAAACATTGGTACACCTTTCAAAACCGTCTCTGCTTTCATCATTTCTATGGACCACATCGTTGGTCAGGAACCAGTGATACTACCTGTTGGTCATGTTGGCGAGCTTGTGGTTGGAGGCCCACAGCTTGCTAGGTACTACCTTAACCGGCCGACTGAGAATCGAAATGCTTTTATTGATTCTAAAACATATGGACGTTTATACAGGACCGGAGACAAGGCACGTCTACATCCCAATGGTGAACTCCAATGCATGGGTCGTATATCTACGGGACAGGTGAAACTTAGAGGTCAACGAATCGAGCTAGGGGAGATTGAGAACGTGCTCTTGAAAAATCAATACGTGAGAAACGTCGCCGCCTGTGTTATTCAGGGAGCTCTCGTTGCTTTCCTATCGGCGGACGTCGCACATTGTACTTCCAGAGATCTGCAGTTGACCTGCCGACGATCCCTGCCGAAATTTATGATCCCTGGGAACTTCGTCATCCTCAATAAGCTTCCTCGCCTCCCATCTGGTAAAATTGACAGGAAAGGTCTAGAGGCGGAATACATACTATCAAAGGGTGTCGATCAAACCGATCTAGCTGAGCCAGCAGGTGACATCGAACAGAAGATCTCCGTATCCCTCAACTTGCTCCTGGAGTCATCTCTTACCCCAACAGCAAGCCTTGCGTCAGCCGGCCTTGATTCTCTAAGGGCTATTCACCTTGCATCCTCTTTACGGAAGGAAGGAGTCTTTCTGAATGCCTTGGATATCCTAGAAGCCGACTCTATCCGCAAGATGGCTGCCCTCGTCCTGAAGTCACAACCTGAGGTGACTGTGATTCCTACTGAAAGTGAGCCATTAAAGATGTGGAATACGATCATCCAACAGGGGCACGAAATGTTGAAGCTTACTGAGAATTTACAACAGCCAACTGATATAATTCCCTGCAGCCCAATACAGACTGGAATGCTTTTGGAAACGAAGTTGAATCCTAAGGCATATTTTAATTCTGTTGAACTGCAGTTCGATCGTGGCATTTCTCTAGAAGATGTTAAAAGTGCATTTCTAAGCACTGCTCTACAAAATGAAGTTTTGAGATCAGGGTTTATTGAAATAGACTTTCCTGGATTCCCATACGCCCAAGTCGTTTGGGAGAGTCTTCATCCCGACCAAATCATAGAGTCAAAGATTTTTGACCATAACTTAGAGTTGCAGAACCAGTGGGATATATTGCATCCACTCAGAGTTCAACTCTGCGTTATTGATGGGCAACCCAAAGCTCTGGTTCATATCCATCATTCGTTGTATGATGGCTGGTCTTGGGATCAGATTATGCGGGACTTAGTCTCAGCACTTGAGAATAAACAACTAACTCAGCGACCACAATACCGACTCTTCACCCTTTTCCACATAAATAATCATTCCTCCGAAATTCGCGAGCAAGCTTTAAATTATTGGCGGTCTCATCTCCAGGGCTCTACACCTTGCCTGTGGCCTAATTTTCAGGATAGATCTGATCTTCCAAAAGTTACCCAGGTTGTTGAACGTCAGTTTAATGTTGACATAGACCAGCTTGATTCTTTCGTTAGGGATTTCCGAATAAGTCGACAAACCATATTCCAGGCAGCCATTGGATATCTACTTTCGGCATACAATGGCACTTCGGATATTATCCTTGGGAACGTATCTGCTGGCCGTA